ACTCACTTGGTAGCCCAGGCTGGCCTTGAACTCACAGAGATCCACCTGGCTCTGCCTCCCGAGTGCTGGGATTAAAGGCGTGCGCCACCACCGCCTGGCTGACATATTTTTTTTTTTTAGACATTTGCTCATTTAGTAGTTGAAAGTCATGCATGACATCTTTCCACTAGAAGATTGTGATAGTTTTATAGATAAATCAAAAGTGTCAAGAAAATACGTGTTGTATGACTTTTGAAGTTTATCAAGATTTTTACTGTAGATCAGAATGTTTTTTTGTGAGTCAGAAAAGAATGCTTATTCTGTCTGTTAGTGGAGTTCCTGTATTAGCTCTTAGGTTAAATTTGTTTACTTTTTATTTAGAAGAATTTAATCCTGGGTGACAATGTTTTTGCTTTATTATTGACAAGGCAGTCTTTTCAGTCTCCCACAGTGATGATACAAGTATCTGCTTCTATTGAATATTTATTTTAAGACTGTGTATATAGGCATATGCACTTGTATTTTCTTTATAAATATTAAGGATGTTATTAAGCAACTACAAATATTGAGAGGTTATTTGTCCCTATTGACTTGATGCCTGCTTTTAGGAGTAAAGTCTCAAACTAGAGATGTGGCTCAGAGACAATAGCCTTGCCTAGCTTGTGCAGGCTCTGAATTTGGTACCTAGCACTATTATGTAATTATATAAATGATATCTGATATCAAGCAGCAGATTTCCTTGATATACATTTTCCCCACTTTTACTTTGAGCTTTATATTTAAACAGTTCTTTTGGAAGCAGCATACACTTGGATTTTAAAATTCTATTTTAAGTTGTTTTGGTTTATTTGTAACTGGAATAAACAGTGTGTTCATGTTATATATAATGACTGATACAGTTGTACCTTTACCGGCCATGTTTTATCTCTTTTTGCCTGTTTTACTGCATTCTGCTAGAATGATTGAATATGTTAAAACTATTTCCATACTTTCTACCTTATTACTGTATGTATTCTATTAGTAGTTACTCTAGTAATAAAAACACAATTATTTATATAACTTGTCAAGGTCTAAGTTTATGGATAACTTCATTGTTTTCCCAAAAAATTTGTAGAAGCCAGATTATTTTTTCTATTTAATTCAATATATCTTCTGTAATTATTGTTTTTGTATTTTAAATGATCTGTTTAAATATCATAAGGCCTTATTATTATTACTGATCTGTAATTCAATATCTAATTTTCCTTTAAGGGAGGTCTTCTTAAGAGTAAACTCTCTCAGTTTTTTTTTTTTTTTAATGAAAACATTTTGGCCCTCATTAGAGTAATCCATTTTAAGTGGATATTTTTCTGAAATTTTCTCATAATTTAAAGGATAATTTAAAGGATTTCACTTATTGTGTTGAATTTTGGCCTCCATTTTTTGCTGCAGAGAATAAGAACTTATTAATAGTTAAGTATAAAGAAAAGAAATAACAAAAATCTTTCTATCAATCTCTATTCTGGAAGACAGCATCTGGCTGCTAGGTACCGTGTCAAGGACCTGAAGATGGCTTAGTATGACTGTCAGTATCCTGTAGGGACATAGCAGCAAGATGCTGCAATTAACAGGCTATTAGAAGGAAAAGGGAAATGCTCCTAGTGTAATATTCCTAGTATAATATAGTAGTTAGTCTGTTTTTGTTCTAGTTGAAGTTGTTTCTTCTGCGGTGTGTGAAATTTCATTGTAGCATCTCTGAATGTAGCTATTACTGCATTTATTTACTTGTTGGTAGCTGGGATTCTGGGATTCTCATGTTTATTAATTGGTATCATCAGCTCTAGATTTTTCAGCCATTATATTTTGAAAATTCCACTGGAAATGAAAGTCTTTCTTTTTCTCCCTTGAGAATGGCTATCTGAAAGCCCTCTCATAGTACATTCACTATGTTCTCCTCTGGCTTTTGAACATTTTTCTCTTCATTCATTTTTGTTGACCTACCTGTAATTTAAAAAAAAAAAAATCTCCTCAGCTGTGACTATTCCTTGTATTTTTTTTATTAAATAAAACTCTATAAATGTACACACCCACTGTCATTTTTTTCAGTTTTCACCAGTTGTTGGTATTTTCAGATTATCCAAAGACCCTAAAAACATAATCACTTTTTTCCTGTAATACAGCAGATTGGATCTGCATGTGCTGATGGTAAACTCTCTGTGTGTACAGCTTGGATCTGTACATGCTGATGGTAAAAAGCTCTATATACTTTGTTCTACTTGACTATTTGATTTACATATTTCATAAAAAAAGTCTCTTCAGTAACTTGAAGCTGGGTTCATACCTACATTCAGAATGACTCACAGTTGTTTCTATGAGGGGCCTCAGTACACCACTAGTTTAGACTTACTCAAATATAAACTTACAGCAATGTGACTGCCCCAACAGCATGAAGCTGTGCTGTGAATCCACCCAGGACTGCAAAGCACGAGGTTTATTCTGACCTGAAGCACAGCTTTGTGCTGTCCTGGATAAAGGTGGAAAAAGTATTCTGAAGAGTTTCTATTGCTGTGAAGAGACACTATAACCATGGCAACTCTTATAAAGGAAAACATTTAATTGGGGCTGGCTTACAGTTCAGAGGTTTAGTCCATGGG